TGGTAGATCCACAAATTTGACAGGGTACTTTGAAGGTTGAAGAACCTTGATGATTGCGCAAGCCTTGATAAATCCGATTACCACGATTAGGATTAAAAGTACCACGATGATTGCGATTACCTCGATTAGAAATGAATTGACCCCTAAGAGGCTTGCCACGATTTGAGTTGTACCGAGAGGCAGATTAAAGTGGGGAAGACTGAGCAGCAAATGCCGAGGGAGTAGGAAGCAGAGGAGGCTGAGATTGCACAGAGAAAGCCTGAAATGGTTCAACCACAGATGCTGAAGAGACTGTCTTCCGTCGAGCCATAGAAAGCTCATTGGTAAGTAAAAGACCGTGAAGTTCATCCAGAGACGTCGAAGACAAACGAAGCATGATAGAATCAATGAAGGACTCAAACTCATCAGGCAAACCATGTAAAGTAGCAGCAATTAGATCACGATCGGAGACGGAAGCACCTGCAGCATGTAATGAATCTACAATTTCCTTGATTTGCTGGAGATATCCCGAGATAGAATTGGAGCCTTTCTGAACCGATTGAAGGCGTGAGCGCAATTGATGAATATTAGCCTCTGAAACACCACCAAAACGTTGTTCAAGCTTCACCCAAAGCTCGCGAGAGGATGAAACGCCAATCGTGAACGGAATGATCTCTTCAGAAAGTGTGGAATTCAACCAGATCAGCAGATTTTGATCTTTTTCATACCATTCTTCAAAAGCAGGATTCAGCGAGCGATCAGCCAAGAGAGGCGGTGGACAGATCTCAGTTCCTTCAATCACACCGAGAAGTTTGTATCGCCGGAAAATAGGAGCAAACAACGCTCGCCATGGAAGATAGTTGGAGCTTTTCAGTTTAATCAGAAATGGATGATGTATCATCTGTCCTAATACCACCTCCATCAAATTCTTGAAGGCAACCAAGAGTTCTATGCACGGATGCGCTCTCGTCGAGGTCCCGATTATTTCGACCGATGCACATTTGTTCGTCAGGGTCCCAATTCTTGTCGACAAGGGCGTCCACGAGAACCCTAGCAAGGAATTTGGAATTTTGGGTTAGAGATGGAGGTGCAGAATTAATGAGGAAAGGAAGGGTGATGAGAGATGGAAGAATGGGGTGGGCTCAGGTGGGGAAGATGAAGATTGGTTTTTATTTTTTTTTTACTTTTCTTTAATTAAATTATTTTAATATTCTAAATTATTTATTAAGTTTTTAAAGCTACGTGGCACAAAAGTATGAGATTGGTTGTATGAAATTGAAATAAAATAATAGTAAATGTATGAAATTGAAATATTTTAAAGATGTTGTATGAGGTTGTAATTGAATCGAGACCTAAGAGGGTAAAATATAATTTACCCTTTTTTTCAGAACCTTGACATGGAGAAAGGCAAGGAAAATTTTTGGGTCTCATATCACTGAAACTAAGAAAGAAAGAAAAAACATTTCTAATCACTTATTGGCAGTCAAATGCAATCAAAGGGGAAAAACAAAGAGACTAGAAAGAGAAAAAAAAAACAGTGAGTTATGGGCCTTCATAATTGGTAACTATGGCAGTGGTGCTATGAACAAAAAGAGAAAGTGGAGACGAAACTGATTGGAAGAACCTAGAAAGGGAAGAGGCAACCTCATTTCGTGTGAAAAAGAGGATTTTATTTCTGGTCGTTCGATTTGCATGAACGGCTAAGATTCAAGGATCTATCGGATCAGTAGAGTAAGATCAGGAGAGGATCTCAGTCCTTTGCAGGAATTTGGTGTTGTTTTGGTAGCCCAAGAAAGGGAAGTTCTAGTCACTCTCTCCATGTTCTTCGACAAGTCAAGCTCTGGACCCAAGCACTTGATTCTGACTTTGATAATGTTAGTCTCTACATCTCTCTCTCTAGAAACTGCATATTTGACTTCCTCTGATAAAAAGGCCCAAACTTTCCTTGATTAGGGAGAGAAGAAAGACGAGGAAGAAGGAAGAAGAAGGAAAAAGAAGGTGCACATATCAAAGTACATTTTTATCTCTGCATTTAATAGGCATTTAACGAAAAAAAATCACTTTTTGACTAAATTTATTAATGAACTATACCACAAGGGATTAAATCCTAATTTTTTTACCACATGGACTATCTTCTAATTACCTTAAATTTTCAGAAGTTGTCAATTTCTGATATGTTTTTTATTCAATTGTACTTGTTTATGTTTTCTGTATTAGTAGGTTTTCATAGGGGTATTGTTAGGATGCCAAATGGATAAGATTGGATTGTTGAGGTTGTCAAAGGTGGTTAAAAGTTATTAAAGGGTAGCTTAAGGAGTAAGCTAGGAAGTTATTATAAATAGCAATAACTGTAATAATTAAAGAGTTATGTTAATTATTGTAATAGTCTTTTTGTAATACAAGAAGGTACTGTGCAATTGATAAACAAGTGGAGTTGGGTTTTAACATTGGTATTGAGTTAGTCGTTTGTCCATCTCAATCTTTTCCTCGTTGTATGATACGTCTAGCTTCGAGTAAATCCATGGAAACTCATGTCTCGAACTTAGGGGCCACGTTCGTAGATTTTCGTAATGAACTCAAGGCCGCTCAACACGAATTCAAAGCACTCCAAGCTGTGATCTTGCAGCAATTGCAGTTACTTATAGTGAGAGGTAGGTGTTGGATTGGTCAGTCAATTTTCGAAACCAACCTATGCAGATCCTTATTTCCAAAAGGGTATGAACCCTAATCTTTTCCTCTCTGCTGTGAAATCGAATCAAGTTGTTCTCAAGCTTTCCATGAGGAAAAGGTTCGTGCCTGAGAGAAAACGGATGCGTTTTTTTTTTCCAAATTCGTCCAAGATACAAGCCCAAGACTCGTCCTTGTTTACGACCCATATTGAAGAAATTCAAGAAGGGCCGTTTATCTGTTTAGGCCTTCTTTAATTATTTGGGCACATGTTCATTTCTAATTGAATACCATGCAGGACTTGCTGCTTTTCTTTTACAATCAAGCATTATTCATATTCATTAGGCAATTCTATTGGCACCCCAAACTACTCCAAACACCACGCATCTAATTTTTCCTTTAAAATCCCACTTTTACCCATTAAAAAAAATCAGAAACCCAGCAATGAGCCACCCCACTACTGGCAACCACCACGACGTGAAATTTTTAATTGTAAAGGAACACAAGTGGTACACCACATGTTTTAATAGAAGTGGTGGGAAATTTCATTTTTAAGCTATTAACTTTTTAGCACACATATCCCACCATTTGTATATTGACACATGGTGTACCACCTCCTGTACCCGTCACATTGAAAAATCTCTCCACCACGACAACCCTCTCATTGAGCTACAAACACCACCCAATCAGGCTGTCATCTGCCTCGCTAGTGTAGGCGTCACCACTAGTCATTTTGTCCCCAATCTTCACCCCAATTTATAATGTTTCATTGGCATGTTTGTAGTTTATTGACTTAGCTTTGGAATTGAGATGGCTAAGCTAGGTAAAAGTTCAGGGCTACCTTCCACTTGGCCAAATACAGATAGAAAGAGTGAATGAAAAAGATAGAAACGAGGAGATGTCGATGGCCGCTAAAAGATTTCGGGTAGGAGGTCGATGTTGAGTGGCCCTTGGTGGGTAGGTGGGGTGGATAAGGCCATCTTCAATCGAAGGGTGTAGAGGGCCAGAAGGTCGAAAATAGCCCGAAAACTGTCTCCAACCGAAGGCTAGGCCAGAGGGCTCATGGCCCCCATGGAATCTGAAAGGGCCAAAGGGTTGGCCTAATTTAGCCAGCCAGCCAGCCCGGGGTTGGCCATAAATGTGAGCATTCCTGTCGGATATACCAGACAACATTGTTATTAATCTTGTTGGTTATATCCAACAGGAATGCTTAAACAAATTTTTCACCATGGCCAGAGGGCTCGTTTTAGCCCTGTCACAAAAAACCGTCTCCAATTGAGGGCCAAAGGGTCATAGCGCCAAACATAATTTATTATTTAAAAACTACAACTTAAATGTTGTTTAAGTTTCATTTTGTTAAATGTTTTTTTATGTTGTATAATTTTTATGTTGGTTAATGTTATTTAATGTTGTTTCATATTGTTTAATGTTGTTTCATGTTACTTAATTTAATTTAATGTTGTATAATGGCTTAGGAAGTTATAGGAAAAAAAATAGAATTAAAAAAATATGAAACAATTTTGTGAAATAGAAGTTATAGGAAAAAAATAGAATTTAAAATAAAATGAAACAATTTTTTTTGAAATAGAATTTATAGGAAAAAAATAAAATTTAAAATAAAATTAAACAAATTTTGTGAAATAGGAGTTATAGGAAAAAATGGAATTTTAAAAAAATATAAAACAAATTTTGTAAAATAAAAGTTATATGAAAAAAATAGAATTAAAAAAAAAAAAAAAGTTATAGGAAAAATTTTGTAAATAAAAAATAATAATAAAGCTGTAAAAAAAATTCAAAGCATTCTTGTCGGTTATAACCGACAGAAATACGTTCATATTATTTAGTATAAATGTATTATTGTCGGTTATAACCGACAGTAATGCATTTATATAACTTAATATGAACGTATTCCTGTCAGTTATACCGACAGGATTTCCATTTTTTCTGGCCAGCCCTCCAGCCCTTTCCGATTCCGTGGGGCCCTCTCATATTCCACAGCTCTCTGGCCTAGCCCTCGGTTGGAGATGGTTTTCGGACTATTTTCGACCCTCTGACCCTCTGGACCCTTCGGTTGGAGATGACCTAACCTGTTTTGGGAGTTTAATTAAGGGCAATATTGGAAGTTTAGGAGCAAAACATCAAAGGTGGGGTGTTTTAGTAGCTTGTGGGGTTGCGTATAAAAGTACCCTATTCATTTCTTTTCTTTTTCATTCATCGAAAGGCATATTTGCTAATTTGTTATAAAAAATTATTATTTTGATGTAAAGATATTGAGTTCAAATAAAATTTTCCAAACATGCCATTTAGATTTTAAAATCTCAGATCAATGTATACACGGTGATCAAATTTAAGTTTGATCAATTGACAGATTTTGAATTATGTTCAATTTGTTAGATTGGTATAATTTACAGCACCACCTCATTACTATATATTTCTTGCCCCCTTTTTGGCAAAACAATCGACGAAGAACAATAATCAATGTACAAATCTATCTCAAACCCTTTGGAGGGCACTTTGATCTGGTATAACTTTGTTAGTAGTCTGATTCTGATTCGCCTTCCGATCGCCGACTGCCTTGAATTCGGCCAGCTTTGCCAGCTCTTGAACTGCACTAACCATGCCTTCAATCCTAGCAACAATCTCAATCAGCAGAGAAGTTAAAGTCCCAAGTGGAATTATGTCCATGAGAGCAACTGCTGCTGCTTCTGCTTTTGTTTTATTGTTGTTTTCAGGACTTTCGGGTTCTTGCAGAAGCGGCTGTGGATTAATGAATAATTTAGGAAGAGATTTCAAGTCCTCTTGGAGCTCCAAAACTGAATTGTTCATTTCTCCCACTAGGAGATCTATTGCAGATGATTTCTTCATTGTTTTCATAGTCCTTGCTAGTTCTTTTATCACCATTGAGGAGTCTGAGCTTACTTTTATGGCAGTGTTGCTGATATGCGTCTTTGTGAGCTCAGATACCTGTAAATTCATATGAAAGTGGTTCGATTTGAGCCATTCTTGCTCTAATAAAAACGTTTTTAGACAACTGAAAGTGCTTAATTCATATCAAAGTGGTTCAATTTAAGTCATTCTTGCTCTAATAAAAACGTTTTTAGACAACTGAAAGTGCTTAATTCATATCAAAGTGGTTCAATTTAAGTCATTCTTGCGCTAATAAAAGCATTTTTAAATAACTGAAAGCATTTTTGACAACGTTCGACCAAACAAGGCAGAAAAACTTATTTATGGGTTGTAAGAGCACTTAGAAGTGCCATAGTGGAGAAACACTTAGTAGATTCTTCTTCATGAAGCATGAAGCAGTTCAAGTATCTTTCTAGAAAGCACTTGAAATTTAATTAGAAATTTCAATTCGTTTTTTATAAAAGTGCTTTTAGTAGACTACAAAATTTACCTCATTTTCGGAATTGACACAACTGTTGAGCGCCTCAATGCAATAAGCGCAGTCACGCATTAATGCCCCGATTTTAAGGTATTGCTTCCACGGATGCAGGAAGTTGAATCGGCCGTGTGCCGGCTCCCATCTAGCAAAATTGGCCTATAAAATGGACAATTAATGGCACTATTAGAGATATATACATATTCCTTTTTTTTTTTAAAGAAAAAAATCTCGATGATACAAGAGAATTTATTGAATCAAAAATGAAAATTACACCATGAAATTATATATGTTTCTGTTGCAATACCATGGATTCTTCTGTTGCCTTTGAACCCAAAACACACTTGTAGCCAAGCAATTTATTGTCAGATTCTTTGTCACCAGCAAAGCCTCCACTATTATTGAAATAATCTGCCACACAACCTGAAGAATATAGTGGGTAATTTTATACTGTCAGCAAAATTGTCCTGGGACAACTACACAAGTTGGGATTAAATTGTCCTAAACTTGTTGGGATTGGATTAAATTTTGTACCGTCTAAGGAATTGGCAAGCGTTTCCATGTTCCGAGTGATGAGCATGTAGAGTTCCTCCCCAGCCCAAATGGGGCAAATGATCATGGTTATGACAATGCACAAGGAAGTTCCAATGATGATAGTCGACATTCTATGTTTGGCCAGGTCGAATAACTGATCCACCTGGTAACCCGACACCGAAATTAAGCTGAATGTGAGGATGAAGATCATGGCACCGTAATCAAATCGGGCTTTCACCGAGGGTATAAATCTCGAGAAGGTTGCTGCAGAAGCTGAAGAAAAAAGAATAACAGTAACAGTAACACATTAAACTTATGTGTACTATTTATAGCTACTACAAAGTAAAATGAGATTAATAAGACTACTACATACCTAATAAGAAAACTGAAAATCCAGTGATGAAATGCTCAATATCTTTCCCGAATCGATCCGCAATACAATGGATGCCGATGGCAAGAAATCCAGCAAGAAATGTTCCAAAAATCCTGTTCATACTTTTACTTAATGTTGCACCTGCATGCACATAACAAGTTACTAATAGGTGCTTTTCGCCTTGTGACCTTCATTGAGGAGCTAATATCGCACTCATCCTTTAAATCGTAGTAAAAAACAAAGGAGAAAAATAGTTGTAACTTACCAACGGTATTTTCAAAGACAACCACAACTGTCATAACTGCCCATATGGCATTTCCTCCCACATCTTTATATAGAGGTCTCATGGCGTAAAAGAGTGAAACAACTGTGAGGGCCACCCCAACTTTGAGGCAATGGATCACCTTTCTAGGCTCATTGTGTCCCATGTCCCAAGCTTTCTTCAGAAAGTTCCATACTTTCATAACCAATCCTACCACCAGACCCTTTAAAGCAAGCCAGGCTATGCCGGGGCACCCTCGTGCTCTGGTGGGAGCCAAACTTTCAGATGACCCGCCAGCCATTTTTATCTTCCACTCCATTGCGCCAATCGCTTCCTTCTCCTGAGCCATTTCTTTAAAAACGAAAATAACGAGGAAAATAAAGGATTAGACGACCAGAACTATACGACAGATGGTCACGTAGATGAGAGGATTGTTGGTGAGGAAAGCGGAGGGAGTGTTGAAGTGTATATATATTAGAAGGGAATGACCACAATAGTTCTGCACATTGACTTATACGATCCAATGCAATTACCAGTCAGGCTTTCCCGTCCACCTTCCAATATTATTATCATTATTTTACATAGACATTCCCGCCCACCATAGTAAAGTCAGCAGCTAAAGGCCAATACACTTGTTTGTTTTTTGTTGAAGTTGTTAATAAAATTGTCAGAAATTAGAATAGAAATGACATTGATCTATATAAATTGTTTCCTAAATCACATTAATTACAATAAAATCTAATGCCCGGTATAACTGTGAGAACCCATATTTTATAATTATATTTTGTGTTGTCTTATATATATAAATAAATATATATGTGTCGACTAGGGTTGTATATTGGTCAACACATGATGACCAAGGACATGTATCTATGTGATTCATGAATTTTAAGCATGAGCTGTTGAGATCAGGCCTCTGGTTATCCAATTGGAGCCAAGGTTATAACGTGTCATCCATTTGGATCCAATTAGATGACTCTTTCAGCCGCCATATCACCACTATAAATAGGTGAGTTCCTGCAAAGCTTGAGGAAGCATGCAGTGCATACAACGCGGAGAAAAAGAGAGAGCGTTAGGGTTTGTGCGTGGAAATGTTAGTTGGCTTGTCTTGCTCAAGTTTAAGATTAATAAGGTGTGTGATAAATGTAATATGTTGTAATTTTTTTTTTTTTGGTAAACGAAAATCATGAGTTATCATGAGATTTATCTATTTACAAATATATCTTTATTTCAAGTCATGTATGTTGAATTTGTTGAAATGCTTTTGGAATTATTAATATAGTGAAATCTGAATTATTGGAAATGTTCATGGAGCATGACAATTTTAGTGTTGCATTAATCCGAAGGATGAATGTAAAATGCACACAGAGACATTAGAGTAGGAAGGCCATTAGGGGTCACGTAATGAGTTACATTTGATGAAAGATGTAATGAACACGTAAAGGGACGATGTGATATGGCATTACGTGGTTAAAGCTTTGATATTATATCATATTTTTATAGTGTGAATGACCCTTTTATTTTACAGATGAGTTACTTGGCCAGACACGAACTAGATGAGCTGAGGTTGTGTTAGACAAGGGATTTAAGAGTTTTTATTTTATTATTTTTTGTACACCTTGTAAGGGTTTTTGGAGTTATTTTTATAAGAGAAGTTTGTTTTTCATTTTATTTTTTAATCTCACGCCAAGCGTAGGGTTAATTTTTCCACCGACTCCAGGTCCCAGGCATGACAATAACTAAACTATTTTATATGTTAATTATTTTTAGTAAAAATTTTATTTTATTTTTTATTTTTTCAGGAAAACTAATGAAAAAGACTTGAAAAGTTTTAGTTTTAATAAAAAAAAAACCATGTTATAAGTTTTGTTTAATGATTAGTACAAGGCCCATATTAAAGTAGTCCAACTAAAAATGGCCCAATTATAATAAATTATGATTTGTTGATTTTACCTCTAACTTTTTTAAGTTGAGTTCCAGTTTTTGTTGTTAATGGATTTCATCGTTATTTTGCAGACCTTCTTCTTTTTCTTTGAAACAAAAATATAGATCCTCATGCTATTTAATTTATATTTTTTATTATTTCGTTGAAATATGATCGTCGTTATTATTCATAGTGTATTCGAGGTACTGTTTTTCAATTTTTCTTCGTCAGTAGAGTTCATCGTTTGTTTCTCCAGAAAATAAATTTGAGATCTGCATGCTATTCAATAATAATGACGGGTCACTGTTTCTGAACTATAAAAATAAATTGTTTTTGGATTTCAAGTAACATTGTTTCTTGAATCTAAGTCATTGTTTCTTGATCCAAAGGAAATAGACACATTGTTTCTTAAATGTAAGATAGAAAAGAAATAGTGAAATTCACTGTATTTGAATTCAAAGCAAAATAAGCTTTATGTTTCTTAAATATAATCAACTAATGCATAAAAGAAAAGAAACAATCAAAGATTAAAATATAGACTATTTCTGGAATCTATGTCACTGTTTCTAGAATCTAAGTCATTGTTTCTAGAATCTAAGTCACTATTTTTGGAATCTAAGTAACTGTTTCTAGAATTTAAGTCATTGTTTCTGGATTTTGGTTCTTTTCTTTCCAGATACAGTGTTTGTTTGTGCACAGACAAAACAATCACTGTATCTGATTTTTTTTTTTCCAGAAACAGTGTTATGTTTTGGGTTCTCCAAAAATAGTTTTATGTTTTGGTTTTTTGGTTTTTTTTTTTCCAGACACATTTTCACTGGTTTCTACCATTAAACTTCTTTGAACTTGTTTCGGCGGCTTTGTTCCGATGAATGCTTCATTTTTCAACTTTGATTTGGTTGTTTTTGCAATGGGGGAATTCGATTTGATAGGAAGATGAGGAGTTATTATGGCGGTTTTGTGCTTGGTTGAGGTTGGTGAAGAGTCAGGACAACATCGAATCATTTAGGGGTATTTACGGAAAGGTTGTGATTTTCACACACCCTTAACTACTTTTCCCACACCCCTCCCTATTTTTTAGTACTTAATTGGTATCCTACTATTTAATCTTCCATATATACCCCCATCCTATTTAATCTTTCATTATTTACCATAAAAAAAGTAGGAGTGGTATATATGGAAGATTAAATAGTAGGATACCAATTAACTATTAAAAAATAGGAAGAGGTGTGGGAAAAGTAGTTAAGGGTGTGTGAAAATCATAACCCTTTACGGAAGTGTAGATTTGTAGCGGGTTGTGCTTGTAAGTTTGATCCGTGGACAATAGTTTTGGATGGTTTTTTTATTAAACTTTGAGCCATTTTGGTTAAATAACATTTTGGGATGGTTTTTGGTTAAATATTTGTTGGCTCAAGCCCTTTTCATTAAAGCTCCTTTTTTTTAACTTTTTTAGTGGAGAGAATATTTTATTTATTTATTTTGTAGTAAAACTTTTATTCTTTCTGTTAGAAAATACTTTTTTTTTTTAACAAAAAATAAGGAAGGTTGAGCTTAGCCTCACAATAAGCTAGTAATAATATGGTTCAAATTCATCTTTGGCAAAAAAAAGAACTTAAGACCTTTCACTTAAAAATAAGGAAGGTTGAGCTTAGCCTCACAATAAGCTAGTAATAATATGGTTCAAATTCATCTTTGGCAAAAAAAGAACTTAAGACCTCTCACTTACAAGTGAAGAAGATTGCCACTAGCTTGTATTACTAAGTGGTTGTTAAAAAAATACTCTTATTCACCCTTAAGTACATGTATGTAGAAGGCTCTCTTACTCACATAGATTAGTACGAATTTAATATAAAAAAAAATTATCTTTTATTGTCACATAGTATTACGGTCTAATAGTATTCATCTTCACTTGTAATACTTATTTTTTATTTGCTTCTATATGATAGAGAAGACTTTTAATCCCCCTAAACCTTATTAAGAATATCAACATAAAGTAAATCAAAATAAAATTTACTTGCTTTTTTTTTGGGTAAATTACACAAAACTACCTCAACTATTGGTTTCACGACACTATCATACCTCATCTTTTAAAATTGACAATGACATACCTCATCTTTAGAATTTGGTCCAATGTTATACCTTCTGTTTTGGGGTCCATTTTCTATTAAAAATTAATAAAATATTAAAAAATAATAATTTACCCTTAAAAAAAATAAATAAAAAAAGAGTAAATTACATAGTAGCCCCTCAGGTTTGAGGTCTATTGCAATATTATACAACATCTTTAAAACTTTTCACTTTCATACCTTAAGTACTATTTTATTTCAATTTCATACAACCGTTACATTTTCCATCCATGGATCTGTTAAATGCTGACGTGACTGCCACATATATGTCATGTGGCTGCCAAATGTCTGCCACGTGGCAAATAAAATAATTTTTTTATTTTTTTTTTAAAAACCTAAAATTGGAAGGAAAAAAAAAGGGACCGAACCCCTGCAACCCAGAAGAAGAAGAAGAGAATAAGGAGGAGGAGGAGGAAGAAGAAGAAGAAGAAGAAAAAAAAAAAAAAAGGGACCGAACCAGAAGGAGGAAGAAGAAGAAAGAGGAGGAGGAAGAAGAAGAAGAAAAAAAAAATTGATTGAACCCCCTGCAACCCAGAAGAAGAAGGAGGAAGAAGGAGAAGAAGGAGGAGGAGGAGGAAGAAGAAGAAGAAGAAAAAAAAAAAGGGACCGAACCCAAAATAAGAAGAATAAGAAAGAGAAGAAGAAGAAAGAGAAAAAAAAAGATATGTGGCAGACAGGTTTTAAAAAAAAAAATTAAAAAATTATTTTATTTACCACGTGCCAGACATTTGGCAGCCACATGGCATATATGTGGCAGCCACGTCAGCATTTAACAGATTCATGGATGGAAAATGTAACGGTTGTATGAAATTGAAATAAAATAGTACTTGAGGTATGAAAGTGAAATGTTTTAAAAATGTTGTATAAGATTGCAATAGACCTCAAATCTGAGGGGCTACTATGTAATTTACCCAAAAAAAAAACAACCCCAAACACCCATCTTCCTCGACCTCTTCCCCTTCCCTGCAACCCCTGACCTCTTACCCCATTTCTCTCACTAAAATCAAGCTCTCACGCCATTCTTCTATCACTTTGAATCTAACTTCTTCTTCCTCCTCCTTAACCCCCTACCCTTCTCTCCTATTCTTTCCCACCAACACCGGAGCCACCACAACTACCCCCACCAATGCCAAAAACCCACCTCAAAAATGGGCAAGGATGGCTCCCTGAGCGAGAGCGTGATAAAAAGATCCTCCTCTCTTACACCTATGTCGCCATCTAGATCTTCATTTCCTTCAGCATCATTGTCTACAACAAATACATCCTCGACAAGAAGATGTATAACTAACCCTTCCCTAT